AATTATAGACAAATTATAGACGAATTATAGACACTCCGTCGCACAGCCTGGTCGGGCTACGTCAATGGGTTACTACTGCACTGGTTAAGGAATAAAACACCCTCATAATTCATGGAATGCAATAATTACAGGACGTATAAACAGCTCTGGATTGACCGCTCTAAACAATGTTGTCGTTGTAGTTGATCTCAATCCTGGATCAGCGTATTCTCCTGGTATCGCCGACTTCGGTGAACTTGAACTTGAAGTTGATGTTGAACTTGAAGTATTGTTAGCATGTGGTGAAGAATTCCCGACACACGGTTTTGTTCTTGGCATTGACTCGGTGGTAGTGAAATATTCCAATGAATTCACAAAAACGGTTATATATGTGACTGTGAACAGTCACATAGAATGGTGTGGTAACTAGTAACACGAGTTACTCTGCAGTTACCAGCCACAAATGGCCGAACAATTTTGGTGTTGATGCTGTATCCTACTGCCCTCTAGCGTCGATGTGAAGACATTGCAGAAAGAAATATCACTTTTTATATAAACATTTGATACGGGCATTCTAATATCACATTTCTTGTGATATCAATATGCTATATTCATAAATATATTTGGTATAAATATATTCATAAATATATGGTTTTAAGATATTAAAAAAAATATTAAAAATATTTAAGATATTAGAAAGAAGCCTGAACATATTTCAAACACATAAATGACCAACCGGTCGCTGTGGCTACACCACCTGACGGAATGTCACAACTACACGACAAGACCAATTTTACTTCTAATGATTTCTAGACGTCCACGAGTCAACTAACTTGCGTGCATAATGCAAAATATTGCACTCTAGTACCGAATTTCAGCGAAAACAAAATAAAAAAAGGCCTTTTCTGGGGGCGAAATAGTGTAATTTGCGGTGAACAACTTGTAAAGGCTTGCTGTTGTATACATGTATATTGTTATAGTTCAGTGAGCAGAACAGGTAGCAGATGTAGTGCTTGCAAAACTGCTTGCTGAGCATGTAGAGAGCGAGCGGGTGGACGCAGGAGAAAGGATAGCCGGAAGGCGACGATGCGAAAGTAGTGCTAGCATTGGTTGTAGTCGCGATAGAGCTCTGTGTGGGATGAAGGTGAACCAGAGCGTGTACGCGTAGGTAGATGTGACGCGGTACCCACAGCAGATTGACGCAGAAGATGAGAACCATGCATGCAAGCGACCTCCTTCCTTGCCTCCACCTGCAAGAGAGAGAGGAGGGTGTAATAGAGAGGAGGGTGTGATAGAGAGGAGGGTGTGATAGAGAGGAGGGTGTGATAGAGAGGAG